CTCCCACCATCCCCTCAGCTCCCACCATCCCCTCAGCTCCCACCATCCCCTCAGCTCCCACCATCCCCTTCACCTGTTCCGCTCTCTCCTTCCTTCACTAGTACCTGTTCCGCTCTCTCCTTCCCTCACTCTTGCCTTTTTCGCAGGTCAGGTGCTCTTTCGTGTCCCTATGCTCACCCGCTGCATCTATGCATCCGAGGGTAGTTTTGGAACATTGGAAGACAAGGGTGTGGATTGCCTTTTTTTCGTTTCCACCAGGATAAGGCCCTTCTCTGTTTGCCTCCCATTCATAGTATCAATATTTGATAATGCTATCCAATGGAAGAAGTATACGTAGTTTGTTTGCATGCTAGAATGGGCTTGGCAACTACATGTTTGTTGCGATGTTGCAATTTATATTTGTATCTTTAGTAGCAATGTGAGAGTACATCGTTTAGTTTCCAAGTCGTAAGTTGCACGAATTTATAAGGGCTAGAAGTTTCATGTTGGAGTGTGTTCCTACTTGAGACCAGTTTGAGTTGCCTACTGACTTTCTATGCATGTTTCGACGCGACGTCATGTTCCCTGGCCTTCAAGAAGGCCTTCTAAGTGCACTTTTCTTGAACAAACACGCCCTGGTTGCAACTTCTTTTCCGTATCGGCAATTGGGTGGTGGTCGTGTATGGCCTTGGCTCCCTTGTCGCAAGCATCCCAGTTTTCGCCCAACCTCCCCTAGGTGCGCAATGTGGTCTGTTCGTATCTGCCCAGCTGCCCCAAAATTGTCCCCTCAGTTTCGCCCACTGTACCCTTATTTTCAATGGTGACCCATGTTCAAGAGGGGCGCTCTTGAAGCCCCCCCCTTGCATTTTTGGCCTGTGGTTTTAACACTGTTGCAAGGGGCCGCCCTACAGTGGTGGAAGGTCATCGTCGACTCAGCGACAACTCGTACAGAAGGACAGCACGAGTGGTCTGAAGAATTCGGCGACGAAGACAAGTCAGACTTGCTGTTTGGTGCAACCCACATTCGCACGTTGGCAATGTAGTGCACAGAGCTTCGCAAGCGGTTTGAACATGCTCCTGACTCAGACAAAGCGCGCGAGACTCTACGCATGTGGAAGTAGCTGGGATCTGTGTCCAAGTACACCTCGTCATTCTTGACGTTGGTGGACAGATGTGGCTACATGCACGAGTTGGAGAAGGTCGACAGGTACATGGGCGGGCTGAAGCCTGAAATACAGTATCAGATAAAAATGCAACGCCCTGTGAAGCGGTTACAAGACTTCATCCAGCTCGCCGAAGCCGCTGATTCGCTCACGAAGCCGAGGACGAACTTCTACGACGGAGGTCGCCCTCGAGAATAGTACCAGCGCGCCAGGATAAAAGGGGTGGACGCAATGGATATTTACGCATTTGCTCTGCGAAATACGGGGCTATGCTACCACTATGTTGGTGGAGGGTAAAGTCAACGGAGTGTTGCTGAAGATTTTCGTGGATGGAGGCGCGAGTCACAGTCTCATACAGCTGGACAGGGCTAAAAAATTAGGTATTCCCTTACTCAAGTGTCTATCCGAAATCGACGCCTGACTAGTAGATGGAACACCGCTGGCTATACGGGAGCGAGTAGAGAAAGTCAGTTTTCATTGCGGGGAGCACGTAAAATTTCGGATGGGGCTGCTGGCGACTACACTCGACGGGTGCGATGTGCTGCTAGGACGGGATTGGCTGCGATAGTACAACCCGAAGATCGACTGGACGACGGGCGGATGTAGTATAAAACTCGATGGGATCCCCTGCGAGCTACCGAAATGGACGGGACCTCTTGGATAAATGCGTTACTATCTACCTCGACGACATACTAATCTACAGCCACAGCAGGGAGCAGCACTTACGAGATCTTGATGCAGTCTTCACGCTGCTGCACAAGAATCGCCTCATCACGAAAGGGTCTAAGTGCGACTTTCTTAAGCAGGAGTTGGAGTTTTTGGGCCACGTCATTTCTACCAAAGGAGTGAAAATCGACCCCAAGAAAATCAAGTCCATACAGGAGTGGAAGCCGCCAACCAACATAAAGGAGCTGCAGAGTTTTTTGGGTTTCGTCAACTACTGTACGTCCGTCGATTTATCCCGAATATGGCTGGGTTATCTGCACCGCTTACTGACCGACTCAAGGATCACGATTGTTTTTTATGGGGAGAGAAGCAGCAAGCTGCATTTGACCAACTGAAGATCGCCCTTACATCGCCGCCCATTCTTCGCATCTCCGATCCTGACCGTCCATACGAAGTCATCAACGACGCCAGCGACATCGCCATCGGTGCAGTTCTCCTACAGGATTTCGGCGACAGATTACAGCCGAGCAAACTGCCCAACTGTTCATCGCCAACGTCATTCGATTGCACGGACTGCCTACCGCAATTATTTCAGATTGATACCCAAAATTCACATCGAATTTATAGCGCCACCTGTGGGACCAGTTCGGTACCAAACTACAGTTTTCCTCCGCCTACCACCCACTGACCGACGGGCGGACCAAACGAGTCAACCAAACAATGGAACAACTCATTCGAAGTACCTGTACTGACCCACAGACATGGGAGAAATCCTTTCCGCTTCTGGAATTCGCGTATAATAACGCTCCCTCCGCCACAACCCATCAGTCCCCATTCTTCCTCAACTACGGACAGGACCCAGTGGTACCCTCTACCCCGAACATCAAGACACCCGTGCCTCGGTCCCAGAAATTTGCTGAAGACATTCTCACCGCCCGAGAAAAAGCAGCTGAGGCTATCAGGAAAGCCAACCTTGTCGCAAGCCGACAAGCCGATCGCCATCGATGTGACGTCACTTACAAAGTGGGAGATCTCGTCCTACTCGACACTCGCAATTTGCGACTGCCGATCCCGAGCAAGCTACGACCCAGATTCTGTGGGCCCTTTCAAGTGACAAATATGGTGACACATGTCACTGCTCACCTCCGACTCCCGGCTGATTGGCGTCACCACCCGCCCTTCCACGTCAGCCTATTACGGCCCTATGTCCCCAGTTCGTCAGAATTGGCACGCCACCGAGGTGTACCGCAGCTGACGCCCCTGCAGGAACCAACGACCGAGCCTTTGAAAGTTCTCGGCCATCGAGTCACGACGCAACTGAACCGTCGGATGGTTAATTTTCTCGTCCACTGGTGCGATCGTACGTCCGAAGATGACAGCTGGGTGCCTCTCGCTGAGCTAGAGTCACACCCGATTCTAACAGTGTATTATCAGCGTCGGAATGTTTCCGATGCCTGCGGTCTCGTTTAGGAGGGGGGGGTAGTGTAAGGAATTTCCATTCCTTACTGAGTCGTATGCTAGTGCGTACACCCGAACTCCTCGACTCGTCACGTTCGGCCTCATTTATCGGCCCAACCCTTTTCCGAGTCGTGTCCAGCACTGTCGCCACATTGCCGAACCTACCCACGTTCCGAGGTTATCGCCCTAGCACGCCAACCCCTATATAACCTTGTGCAATAGCGACCTTGTATTCTCACGTTATATTACATTGACACTTCCTATATCATAGCAGAAGACACGGTTGACAGCAGCTCTTTCTCGGTGACAGCAAATGCGACGAGGTTCGTCATTCCTCGCACGATGTCGCGAGATGAGGGCTGCTGTAACGCGAATCCCTCCCTTCCCCGCCAGGCGACGCTAGACAAGCCCATCGAGTCCATGTCGTTTCTATTTACTCGGACTGTACCATAGCTCTATGCTTTTCCAGTTCGCCGCGCACCTCACTGTGGACCAGCTTTCGTGGATCCTCGCATGCTTCTCGCGCTCGGAGCTTCCTGCACACGGCAATTTCTCGCACTTGTCTCTCGCGACTGAGTCCGAAAACGCGGAACGCTAGCTATGGCGGCTCCAGCAGATGACGCTTCGTCCTCACTTTTAGGTTTGACCATGGGAATCTATGAATTTGACATCCCTGACTCCCAATGCCATCACAGCTTCTGCACCAGCTCCTTCCGCACTATCGATATCGACCGGCGTTTCCGTCACTCCGTCAGTTTTGACACAGCAAGCAACGCACCGCTTGAGGAATTCCAGCGTAGTTTTCACTCCTGAGAATCCCTCAACGCTTTTCATCGCCGTGTGTTCGGACCCGAGCAAACCAACTTCCACATGGCGACCACCTCGTGGCTGCCCGCAGCTCGCCAGCTGCTGCCCCTCGCTCTCCTCGCGCTGCTCGCCGCCACCAGCGCCAGCGCCGCACGCCCCATGCTGCACGCAGCATCCTCCGCCGCAGCAGCCGGCATCACCGGCGCTACCACGTCCGGGTCCACCCTGGACTCCCCGCACCGGGCAGAGCGGAAGCTGTTCAGCTGGGAGGGCGTGACCGCGGACCAGGTGATTGCGGGGAGCGTGGGGAAGATCGACGGGCCAAAGGACGGCGAGGTGGCTCAGAAGCTGGTGGAGATTTTTATGAAGGCGGGGTACAACGTGATGATGGTCAAGAGCGAGCACCGCGTGGAAGACGGGCCGGATTACGCCCAGGTGGAGGTTGGGCACTTCTGGGATAACTCCGAGTTCACGGTGTATTACAAAAAGGGCCCATTCGAGGTGGCCAACACCGGAGATGGCGGGTACGAGAACTGGACGTTCGGAGGGAACTGGCAGCGGGTGGGGGCGGATGATGAGGTGGTGGTCTTCTACTGATCTAGTATAACCTGCAAGTACTGTGAGCTACCAGTAGCTATGAAAAGTGGTACATGTCTCTGTCACAACATGGCATCCTTGGCCTCACCTGGAACTTCAGAAGTACAATGCGTGTAATATGCAATGCAGGTTGCTACTAGACTCGTCCCGCTTTGACAAAAATGTGAAGTTGCAAAGCTGTATCAATTCCCCCTCTTTTTATTATACAACGATTCTTCTATCATACAACGATTCTTCCATCATACAACCTACACTACACCGCCTCCAATTCTGAGGCCTTGTGGTTCATCCTTGAATTCACCCGGTGCGTTATGGGGCATCAACCTCGTGCATCGAGAATGTTACAGGTGCAGGGTGGTGTGCGCCAAGTTGCGAGTGTCGTGCGTCACTCGCCGTTGCTCACAGCCTGTCCCTGGGATCCTCTCTGCCCGGCACCACAGCGGTAGCGGCGGGCGCCTCCACAGTGCCACCTGCGGAGCGGCATTCGACTCGATTGGGCATTGCTCGCGGCGCATCCCGTCGTCGCACCCGCCATGGCCGCGTCGTGCGCTCTCGTCGCATCGCCGGCGCTTTCGTGCTCCGGCCGCACATCGCGTCAGTGCCGCACCACCCATTGCCCTCACCACACCTGCCGCCGCCATCCCACTCACTGCGTCTCCATCCCCCACGGCCGACCGTCCCCCCTCCCTTCCACTCTCACCCGCTCCTCCCCGCGCTCACCCAACACGCGCGCGCGTCGTGCCATCATCGCCCCGCCTTCCGTGCGCGCATTTGTCTGCTGGTGCTTCGTGCGAGGTCCACAGCAGCGAGTGTGCTTCACTCGCCACGCCCCACGTGCCGGCCCCTCTCCCTTCCGCTTCATCCTCCCCCTCCCTATAACGCCTCGCTACCCACTGGGTCAAAACGAGGTTACCCAGAGGCGCAGCGGAATGCGTTTTTACACTCTAGGGTGATTCCGTCCGCAGACGTTACACTCCCACTCCCCTCGCCTCCCTCCTCGCCCCCCGCGCCCCCTCACCCCCTCACCCCCTCACCCCCTCTCTGTCAAGCCTGCTCGTCCCGCGTTCCTCTCCTCGCCACGGCTCCCGCCCTCCCCTTTCCCCGCTCTCGCATGCTCATGCCTCTCCGCTCCCCTTTTCTCATTCTTCTTTCCCCTTTCCCCTCCCTCTACCCCCTCCCCTCGCCCCCCCCTGCCCTTATGCTGTGCTGACTCTCTCCCTGCCCACAGGTGCACCTGCCGTCACCTCCTCCTCCTCCTCCTCCTCCTCCTCCTCCTCCTCCTCCTCCTCCTCCTCCTCCTCCTCCTCCGCCCGCAGCCGCTGCTCCGCCAGGCTGCACTCGCATGCGGCACCCACCTCCTTGCCAGCCGCATGGAAGCCAACAGCGCCCCCTGCAGGTCCCCCCTGTATAGTCACAAGGCCCAGGCGAGTGCGCAGTGTGCGGGCGGCAGCAGAGGACGGCGATGTGGGCGGCATAGCAGCCGTTGTGGGTGGTGCAGTGGCGGTGGTGGGGGCGGCAGCAGTGCTGCTGGGGCTGCAGCAGAGAGGGGGGAGCGGGGAGGGAGGAGGGGAGGGCAAGGTGCCTGCTGCCAAGGTGAGGTGGCCATGTGGGCTGGGGAGGCGGTGGTGAGGACTGCTGAGGTGGCTGCTCCAGGGGGTTGGGGTGCGATGGCGTTGAGGTTGGTGCTGGGAGTAGGGCTGCACGCACCTCAAGTGCTTGCGGCACGGCAAGGGGCTCTGGCTGTGCTGACTGCAGGCTGGGCTGTGCCCCACCTGTGGTCACAGCGGCCCTCATCTCTGCCCCGCATCCCCCCCCCCCCACCCCTCCCTTCTCAGGTGCCATGCAGTGCCTGCAGCGGCGTGGGCATCTGCGCGGCCTGCCAGGGCGAGGGTTTCGTGAGCAAGGCTGGGAGCGGCACGCAGCGCGCGCGTGGGCTGGGGTCGAGCCCCAATGTGGCGCAGAGGAACACCGCCAGGTGGGGAGGGGTGGGGAGGGGCTGGGTGCACGGGAAGGGATGAGAGGAGGGAGGCAGAGGGCGCATGAGAGGGCAGATGAGTGGCGCAGGGGACAGTGGATGGGCCACTAGTGGCTGGTCGTGGATTGGCCTGCCGTGTGCTGTTGACCAAGTGGCTGCCTGCTGCTCTCCCGCCCTGTGGTACGTGCATCCCTCGCTTCCCCCACGACCATCTCCCCATCTCGCGTGTGCCGTCGTGCCTGCCAGGTCACATGCCCCACACTCCACGTGCCTGCTGCTCTCGCACCGCCCACTCTCACCACTCTCGCTCTGCCCTGCACCCTCACATGCGAAAGCTCTTGCTTGGCTTGCTACGACTGCCCCCCCCCCCCCCCCCTCCCCCCCCTTCCCTGCACGCCAGGTTGTCCAACAAGTGGCGCTACTGTGTGGCGTGCAACGGGGCCCGCGTGTGCGGCACGTGCGAAGGAAGAGGAACGGTGGACGCATGAGCGCAACTGTATCAGGATGGCCGTATCATACGACAGAGCGGGTACATGGGTTAGACACTCTGCTAAATGCGTAGGTGATGCGGATACAGCACTATTATTACTGCCTCAATTACTCCTGGCCTGCCACTGCTGCCGAGGCAGGCTGTTAGAGGTGGCGTGGAGCGAGGAGGGTGTGGCGTGCAGGAAGGAACACATTTGAAGGCCTGACCAAGGGGGTCACTGTCGCTCAACCGCTGAAACACACAACAGGCAATACGATAAACTGTACAAGCTGCAAGTTGCAGCATGTTGTGCAGTGGCAGCCGGCCCGTGCCCGCCTAGGTCCACACCAGCTCGTACACCTTGCGGCTCACCGCCTCGCTGATGCGCCGCCCCTTCACCGTGATGCGCGTCAGCAGCAACCACTGCCCCTCGGGGTTGCCCTCCTGCCACCAGCGCCAGGCAGAACGAGGACGGGGTTGTTGAGTGGGTGAGGGGCAGAGGTGAGATGATTCAGCAGCACGTAAAGTTGTGAAGACAGGGAGTGAGGGCGTATGCCTACTTCAGCGTATTCAGTACCAGGAAGCCAAGCTTCGCGAACTACCGAATTGAACCACACAGGACTTAACGTTTCGACACTCGGACATCACTGTATCACATTTCAGACTCGATTTTGGGTTTGCTGGTACTGAACACTACTGTAGGAATACGCCCTAAGGCGGTACCCAGGCCAGAAAGACGTGGGCGAATGAACAGCTGACATAGCACATGCAAGGCGCACCATGAGGTGGTAGGCGTTGATGAGCGCACGCAGCGAGGGGAAGCGGCGCAGAATGGCGATGGCCACGTCCACCGTCACCGACCGCACCTGGGGGCAGGCACCGGCAGGCACAGGCAGGCACCGGCAGGCACCGGCAGGCACCGGCAGGCACCGGCAGGCACGGGGGGCATGGAGGGTGGGGAGGAAGCAGAAGGGTGAAAAAGGGAGATGAGAGAGCCATGGTGGCAGCATGGGCAGGGGAGCGCGGGATGGGCGAGTGGGAGAGAAGGGGCAATGCAGTCCTGGGACTGGAGAGCTGAACACCACGTCACACACCTGCCAGCACCCACCAAGTGCCGTCACACTTCATTGCACCCCACCACCATCCCGCGACACTATGCCACCCCACCTGCAGCAGCATGCATCACACCCCCCACCCCCCCACCCACCTGCAGCAGCATGTGGCCGAAGAGGTTGGCGACGGAGTCGCTCTGCACGGCGCGGCACGTGGCCACGAACTCGCTGTACAGCGGACACACTGCCGCCACGGGGGGCGTGCTGCCCTGCTGCGCGTGCTGCTGCTGCAGCTGCTGCAGCGCCGCGGCGGCGTCGTTGTAGCGGCGCGCGAGCGCGGTGGAGATGTCGAGGTAGCGGTGCTTGGTGTCATGCAGGGATGCCGTCTGCTGGATGTCCACGCCCTCCTGCATCTCCGCCTGGATCATGCTGTGTGGGGGAGCAGGTGGGGGGGACGAAAGGTGGGTGAAATGGCACAAGAGAAGGTGGCACAACAGAAGCACAGGGGCAAAGGGGGAGATTATAAAAGGGGAGAGAGTGTTAGGGAAGGGCCGAGTGATGGTGGGAGAGCAAGTGAAAGGGGGAGAGCAGGGAGGGAGCGGAAGAGGGAGTGCAGGGAGGGAGCGGAAGAGGGAGTGCAGGGAGGGAGCGGAAGAGGGAGTGCAGGGAGGGAGCGGAAGAGGGAGTGAAGGGAGGGAGCGGAAGAGGGAGAGCAGGGAGGGAGCGGAAGAGGGAGAGCAAGGGAAAGTGAGCGGGGGAAGAGAGACAGGTGAGTGAGCGGGGGAAGAGAGACAGGTGAGTGAGCGGGGGAAGAGGGACAGGTGAGTGAGCGGGGGAAGAGGGACAGGTGAGTGAGAACGGGACGAAGTTGGGCAGTGAGAGAAGATGTGGCGGAAGCAAGCGAGAGTGCGAGGGCAGCAGGGGCATGGCGGGTTACGCTGCGCGGTTGGGGTCTTGGGCGATGAGGTCGTCGAGGGAGCCGTCCACCAGGCACAGCAGCCGGCGCACGCCGCAGCGCTGATGCACGGGCAGACAAGGAGAGAGAGGCGGTGAGGGGGGCACACAGGCATCATTTCAGGGTCGTTCATGTGAGGCGCGCACGCAGCTTCCCAAGGGAGCAGGAATGAGCAAAGCCCCGTGGTGCCATGGCAGGAATGTGCACACGCCCACGCCTCTCCGCCTCTCACCCCCACCTGCAGGCGCAGGCGCTGGTCGCGGAAGCGTGAGGACTTGATTGCCATCCAGAGGTCGTGCGCGCGTGTGAACTCCACAATGAAGTCCAGCACGTAGTCCCGCCCCCCGCCCCGCTGCCGAGCCACCCACATCGCGTCGCCCGCCGGCAGCGCGTGCACCTGGGCATGGGGGTTTAGGGGAGGGATATCAGGGGTGGAGAGCAGTGCGTGCAGGAGTTGCATGTGCATGGCCAATCCTGCTGGCGACTGGCGCTGCAGCTGAGGGAAATGGTGGGGGGGAGTGCAGGGCGGCGAAGAGGGAGTGCAAAGTGGTGACAGGGGGAGTGCAGAGTGGTGAATGAGGAGAGGGCGTGATGGTGGAAGTGGCGGCAGAGAGGCAGAGAGGCTGAGAGGCAGAGAGGCAGAGAGGCAGAGAGGCTGAGAGGTTGAGAGGCTGAGAGGCAGAGAGGCAGAGAGGCTGAGAGGCTGAGAGGCTGAGAGGCTGAGAGGCTGAGAGGCTGAGAGGCTGAGAGGCTGAGAGGCTGAGAGGCTGAGAGGCTGAGAGGCTGAGAGGCTGAGAGGCTGAGAGGCTGAGAGGCTGAGAGGCTGAGAGGCTGAGAGGCTGAGAGGCTGAGAGGCTGAGAGGCTGAGAGGCTGAGAGGCTGAGAGGCTGAGAGGCTGAGAGGCTGAGAGGCTGAGAGGCTGAGAGGCTGAGAGGGAGGCTGAGAGGCTGAGAGGCTGAGAGGCTGAGAGGCTGAGAGGCTGAGAGGCTGAGAGGCTGAGAGGCTGAGAGGCTGAGAGGCTGAGAGGCAGAGAGGCTGAGAGGCAGAGAGGCTGAGAGGCTGAGAGGCTGAGAGGCTGAGAGGCTGAGAGGCTGAGAGGCGGCGCAGCAGGCATGGCTGGTGGACAGGGTGATGGGATGCGAGGATGTGCTGCTGCCGTTCAAAGCCAACAGGGAGGTGCTCCACTAACGGTGAGGAGATAGAGACGCAACCGGTCCTCCCAAACCTTGAGCACTTTTGCCCATCTCGCTCCCCATCTCATGCAACCCAATTCCTTGCCCCTATCCTGATCTCTTCACCACATACATCCCTTGAACCTCTCCTTGTCCCTCCCATATAGCACTCTACCCTCTCCCCTCCCCTTCCCCATTCCTCCTTGCTCTTCCCCCTGCCTCCCTCCCCTCCCCTCACTTGACAGTGCGGACTGCCCCTTTGAGTGGACAGCATCCCCCCATACACCCTCGCCCCCACCCCTGGCACACCACCCCCTTCCTCTCTCCCCGCCCCCCTCCCCACACACCCCCCCCTCCACCACCTCAGTGGCGAGGCCGAACTGCGTGGACAGCTGGTTGGCGAACACAGGCCCGTGGCACCTGGGGGATGGCACGGAGGCGGGGGAGACAATGGGAGGGCGGTGGGCGAGGGCGAGAGGGCATGGCGAGGCGTGGCTGCTTCACGCGAGGATGGTGATGCAAGGATGTGGATGACGAGGTGCAATCATGTGTGTTGCTCGTGTGTGCTTCCAAGCATGCATCTTGCACTGCCAAGCATGCACCATGAGCTGCCAACAATGCACCATGAGCTGCCAAGCATGCACCATGAGCTGCCAAGCATGCACCATGTGCTGCCAAGCATGCACCATGTGCTGCCAACAATGCACCATGTGCTGGCAAGCATGCACCATGTGCTGCCAAGCATGCACCATGTGCTGCCAACAATGCACCATGTGCTGCCAAGCATGCACCATGTGCTGCCAAGCATGCACCATGTGCTGCCAAGCATGCACCATGTGCTGCCAAGCATGCAACATGTGCTGCCAAGCATGTACCATGTGCTGCCAAGCATGCACCATGTGCTGCCTGTTAGATTATATATACGCATTGTATCATGCTCGACTAGTATATTAGCTAGGTGTACACCAACATGTGGTGTACACATCAAAGTGCAAGGGGTGTTAATCCAACCCTGGAGTGGTTGGAGCCCCCGAGCACCAAGACCACAATATTGGGACCACGCAAGTGGCTCCCATGGTGGTTGGGTACTGTTCCTACCCAACTGCATGTGGCACTGTTCATCCTTCTCTTGATAGCTTCCCTTCCTTCCCAACTTTCCAATGTGTGCTCCTGATTCCACTACTCAAAGCAACTTCTTGAATTCTTTCATGCTTTCATGCTTTCATGCTTTCAGAGCCCTAAGGCTCACGCCACATCCCGTTCTTTTCCCGATCCTAGCCCACCCCACCCTCCGCTGTGGTCACGAACCCCAGCGAGGAATCCCCGCTTCCGCCGCTCTTCTCTCCTTCCTAGCCGGCAATTTCGCCGCCAACCTCCTCCTCGTCCATTCCCCACCCCGCCGCTAGTTTCTCCCTAGCCGCTGCTTCCTCCCCTCCTCGCCGTTCTCCTGGCGCTTGTTAGTCTCCAGCTCGCCCCTTCATCGCTAGCGCTGTAGCTGTAGCTGCCAGCGCTGTCCCTTCCCCGCCTGCCGCGTCAGCTCGCCGCTGCCTGCGCGCCGTCCCGCAGCCCGTCGCTTCACGCTCGCTGTCGGCCGCCAGCTCGCCAATCGTCGCGCACCGCTCGTCGCAAGCCGCTCGCCGCTCGCCGCCAGCCGCTCGCCGCTCGTCGAAAGCCGCTCGCTGCCCGCCGCTCGCCGCTCGCCTCTCGTCGCCCCGCTCGCCGCTCGCTACAAGCCGCTCGTTGCTCGTCGCTCGCCGCCAGTTGCTCGTCGCTCGCTGCTCGCCGATCGCCGCTCTCTGCAAGCCGCTCGCCAGCTTGCCGCTCGCCGCCAGCCGCTCGCGTGCCGCTCACCACTCGCCTCTAACCGCCAGCTCGCCGCCTGCCGCTCGTCGCAACGCGCTCGCAGGTCGCAATTCGCTGCCAGCCGCCCGCTCGCCGCTTGCCATTTGCCACTCGCGCACCGCTCGCCGCTCGCTGCCCGCCGCCCTCTCCCCGCTAGCCACTCGCTCGCCAGCTCGCCGCTCGTCGCCTGCCGCTCGCCGCCAGCGACTCGCGCGCCGCTCGCCGCTAGCCGCCAGCTCGCCGCTCGCCGCTAACTGCCAGCCGCCCTCTCCCCGCTGGCCGCCAGCTCGCTGCTCGCCGCTCGCCGCCGGCCGCCGGCTCGCCACTCACCGTTGCTCCATCCAGCAGCCGCCACTGCCTCCCCTCTCCCTTTCAGCCGCCGCCGCTGCCCTTCCCCCCAGCAGCCGCCGCCGCTTCCTCTCCCCCCACAACCGCAGCTGCTCCTGTCCTCCGCAGCAGCCACTGCCGTCGCTGTCACCTGCCGCCACCACTGCGGTTCCACCCCACCGCCGCTGCCACTGCTCCTCTCCGTAGCAGCCGTCGCCGCCGGCCGTCTCACTTGCAGCCGCCGCCGCCGCCACTGTGCCACCGGCCGCCGCCGCTTCTGCCAGTAGCCGCCGCCGCTGCTTCGTCGACAGGCGCCGCATCTGCCCTTCTCTTCGGCAGCTGTCGCCGCTGCTCACAGAGCCGCTGCCACTCTTTTGAGCCGCGCGGGTCCACCCGTCGTTGCTCCCTCTTCGTGCCGCCGCGAGCCCCCTCGCCGCTGCCGCTTTCGTGAGCCGCGCGGGTCCACCCGTCGTCGCTCCCTCCTCCTGCCGCCGCTAGCCCCCTCGCCGCTGCCGCCTTCGTGAGCCGCGCGGGTCCACCCGCTGTCGCTCCTCGCCGTGCCGCCGCGAGTTCCCTCGCCGCCGCCGTCTTCTTGAGCCGCGCGGGTCGGGTCGATCCCGGTCCCGAGCCTGATGTCCCCCGCGACCGTGGAGATCCGCCAGAGCGACCCGAGGTCCCTCCCGTGCAGCTGGACGACCCTGAGGCTGAGTGTGCTGCCGAAGAGGCCTATGACGACGCCCACCAGAAGTTCCTGCAGCGGCGCGCCGACTACAAGTTCGAGAAGCAGGCATTTGACCTCGCCTCGAACGTGCCACGGATCATCGCCTGCAAGCCGCCCGCTATGCACAGCAGAAGGCGACCTATGCCGTCACCACAGCTGCATGGTGCGAGGCTGACCTGCGCGCCTCCACCATTGTCCTCGGCGCTCTCCCCGTCGACATGATGCGGCGCTTCCAAGCTCGAGAGCTCCCTGCCGCTCAGCTGTGGAATGAGCTCCACACCATGTTCGAGCGTCGCAACATCGGCTCGCTTCGCATGCTGTTTCGCGAGTACAACAGCATCACGCTCGACAGCAGCAATGGCGCTGTCAATTTCACCAGCCGCCTCCTCGACATTGCCTTTCGTCTTGAAGCTTGTCGTGTCGTTCTGCCTCCTGAGCTCCACATCCACAACCTCCTCCATGGCCTCACCCCTCAGTTCGACGCGGGCGTCATCGCGTTCACTGAGAGCGACCCCCGTGCCGACCTCCCCACTGTCGTGCAATGAATCATCGACACCGAGGTCAAGCTCCTCCGGGAGCTAACCGCCACTCTCCATGTTGCCCAGCCTGCCTCCGCCGAACTCAACGCCGTCCTTAGCCGCTCCCGTGGTGGCCGTGGAGGTGGCCGACTGGCCCAAGCAGCGCTGCCGCTGGAGCGGCATCTCCTCTCCCTCCGTGAGTTGCAGCATGCTGGCATCACTGCCACATTTCCTACATTCGCCACTCACTGCGACCTCTTTCAAGGCGTCTCTAACCGCCTCCTTCGCCGTCTTCCTCTCTGTCCCCTTACCCGCCAGTACATCCTCCGCGTTCTGTTTCCCTCCTCTTGCCACGCCACCACTCGCGCTGGCACTACCACCTCCCCTCCCCTCCCTCCCCCCTCGCCGACCCTCCCCACCCCCGCTCCCTCTCCCTGCTCCTGTCGCGTGCTCTCCCATCCTACTGTCCTTCTCCACCGTCGACTAGGCCATCCTTATTTTGCCACACTTCGCGCAGCAGTCTCCTCTCGCCTCCTCCACGGCCTCCCCCCTTCACTCCCTCCTCTCCCCTCCTCTCCTGCCCCCACCTGCTCCTCTTGCATCCATGGCAAGCTAAAGCAGCCCCCCCATCACAGCCATCCCTCCTTTGCTGCCTCCCCCATTGATCTCGTTCACATGGATCTCTAGGGACCCAATCCCTCCCCCTCCCGCCACGGCCACAGGTACATGCTGGTTCTCGTTGATGATCACAGTCACTACTCCTCAGTTTTCCTCCTCTATACAAAAGCTGAGGCCGCCGTTGTCATCATCCGATGGGCTGAGAAAGCTCGCCCCCACTTCAGCCGCCCTGTTCGCCGCTTCCACTCTGACGCGGCGAGGAGTTCCTTAACCATACCCCCTCTACCTACTGCGCCACGCACGGTATCCAGCAGAACCACACTCTCCCCCTTTTCCCCCAGCAAAATGTTATTGCCGAGAGTCGCATTCGCGAAATCATAAAGACAGCTTGCTGCCTCCTCACCCATGCCTCTCCCCCACCCTCCCTCTGGGGCTATGCCCTCATCCATGCCGCTATCCTTACCAACCATTACCCCCATCCCCAGCACACCTCCTCCCCTCCCACAGAGTTATGGGCCTCCTCCAAGCCCGATGCGGCAGTCCTCCGCATCTGGGGATGCAAGGCGTTTGTCCTAATCCCCCCTGCAGACCGCTCGCGCTCGGCTGGCAAACTTGCCTACAAGGCCCTGGAGTGCATTTATCTAGAGCACGCTCGCGACTCCCTCGGCTACCTCTTCCTCCACCCTCCCTCAGGCCGTTTTCTCAAGAGTCGCAACGTCGCGTTTGATGAGAGTGTCCCATACTACACCTCCCCTCCCTCCGCTGATCCCCTCCCTGCTCCTTCCCGCCCACTCACCTGGGCTGACGCCGTTCTCCCCCCGCTCCTTCCCCAAGCTCCCCTCCTCCCCCTCCCCCCCCCCCCACCTCCACCTCCGCCCCCTCCTCCCCCCCCTCCATCCTCCGGCGACATCTACAATCCAGTTGCTCCCGCTTCCCCCGCCCACTCTGTCGCCGATCCTCCCTCCTCCCAACCGCTGCAGCAGCCGTCGCAGCAGCAGCAGGATCAACAGGACCAGCAGAAGCAGCAGGACCAGCAGAACCAGCAGCAGCAGCAGCAGCCGGGGGACCAGCAGCAACAGCAGGACCAGCAGCCGCAGCCGCGCCAGCAACACCGGCTCCCTCCACCACTTGGTGGAGAACAGGTCTCTGCATCGTTTCCCTCCGTACGCCGCCCCACGTCCTCTCCTTTCCTCCTCCCGCGTGCTCAAACGCGCTCCATGGACCCTATCCTTGGCCTCCCCTTCAACCTCTCCGCTCCCCCACAGGAGGACTCCCACGCGGATTTCATCGTCATTCAGCAGCATGCTCCACGCCTCCTCCCGCTCTACACGGGCTTCCTTGGCCTCCTGCTGCTCGGCGCGTCCTCCTCCCCCTCCATCTACGTCCCCACCGACTTTGGGAAGCCATCACTGGCCCTGATCGTGACAAGTGGATTTCTGCTGTCTTCCGCGAGGTCGAGGTGTTCATTCGCAACTCGTTCGTTGACGTGATTCCTCCTCCCGGCGCTAACATCGTCGAAGGGAAATGGGTCTTCCGGGTGAAGCAGTTGCCTGGCCAGGAGCCGGAATACAAGGCCCGCTACTGCGCCAAGGGATTTACCCAGACTTGGAGCGTCGACTATTGGGACACCTTCTCCTCCACAGCCAAACTCCCCACCATCCGGGCCCTTCTCAACTTTGCAGCTCGCATGTCCATGGTCATCTGCTGCATGGACGTCTCCAATGCGTTCCTGCAAGGTGAACTGCGCGAGAAAGTCCTCATGCGGCGACCCCCGGGATTTCATGCTGCCTTCCCGCCCAACACCGTCTGGGAGCTTCGGCGCCCTGTGTATGGCTTGAAGCAGGCACCTCGTGAGTGGCATGCCAAATTGGCTGCCACCCTTCAAGCCATGGGCTTCCGTGCCACCCACTCCGATACCAGTCTCTTCATCCGTGCCGCTCCCGGCCGCTTCTTCATCCTCGTCTATGTGGATGACATGATCCTCATAGCCGATGAGTACGCTGACATGGTGAAGGTCAAGGCCGAGCTTCAGACCCGCCTCCAGTGCAAGGACCTGGACGCGCTGCGATTCACCATGGCGCAGGCCAAGCCGGTGTCGACCCCCCTGCTAGTTGGTCACCAGCTTGCGCCTTCCACCTCCCCCTCCGCCTCTGATCACCCCTATGCCGAGCTTGTCGGGTCCCTCATGTACGCCATGATGTGTACGCGCCCCGACCTCGCATACCCCATCAATGTTCTCGCCTGGTTCGTTGGTACCGGCCACCACACTCCCGCACACTGGGCCACTACCAAGAGAGTCCTCCGCTACCTCCGGGGCACCAAGGACTACGTCCTGACCCTTGGCGGCACTTCCCCTCCTCTCCTCACTGGCTTCATTGACTCCTCCTGGGCCGATTCTCAACCCGACCGTCGCTCCTCCCAGAGCTATGGTTTCACCCTCGGCAGTGGCCTCATCAGCTGGCGTTCCACCCGCTCGTCCGCCATTGCCCTCTCCTCGTGCGAGGCCGAGCTCTATGCCGGCACTATGGCCGCTCAGGAATCGCGCTGGCTGTGCTATCTCCTCGCCGAGCTCAAAGCTCCCAAGCGCTGTCCCACCCTCTGGTGCGACAATGCCAGCATGATCCACCTCACCAAGGACCCGGTCTTCCATGGGTGGTCCAAGCACATCTAGCTTCGTTATTTCTACATTCGCGACCTCGTCCCGCAGGGTCACCTTGTCGTGCGGAAGATTGCCGCCGAAGCAAACTTGGCGGACATTTTCACCAAGGCCTTGCCCAAATGCACACACAAGGCCCTCCCTCGTCTCCTTCGCCAAAGCCCTCTTCGCCCCTCCCGAGCTCCATGATTCAGGGGTTGTTCGTCTTCTCCATCCTAGTCCTCCGCATGTTAAGGGGTTGTGTTAGATTATATATGTATTGTAACATGCTCGACTAATATATTAGCTAGGTGTACACCAACATGTGGTGTACACATCAAAGTGCTAGGGGTGTTAATCCAACCCTGGAGTGGTTGGAGCCCCCGAGCACCAAGACCACAATATTGGGACCACGCAAGTGGCTCCCATGGTGGTTGGGTACTGTTCCTACCCAACTGCATGTGGCAATGTTCATCCTTCTCTTGATAGCTTCCCTTCCTTCCCAACTTTCTAATGTATGCTCCTGATTCCATTACTGAAAACAACTTCTTGAATTCTTTCACTGCCAAAAATGCACCATGTGCTGCCAAGCATGCACCATGTGGTGCCAACAATGCACCAGGTGCTGCCAACAATGCACCATGTGCTGCCAAGCATGCACCATGTGGTGCCAACAATGCACCAGGTGCTGCCAACAATGCACCATGTGCTGCCAAGCATGCACCATGTGCTGCCAACAATGCACCATGTGCTGCCAACAATGCACCATGTGCACTAGTGCAGAGAGCTTAAAACGAAACACTCTCATCAATGTATCAGCCCATCCATCCCACCATCTGTCAACCCATCCTTTTCCTCCCCCCCGCCCCTTCCTTGCTCACTCGCTCTCGCGGTTGTCGATGAAGATGATGACGTCATACGCATCTGTGAACCGCTCCGCTGGCCCCAGCGGCGGCAGCTGCCACTCCTCCGCACCCTCCGCTCCAACGCTGCCTGCACGGGGACAGAGCAAAGAAGTGTGGGGGGGAGAGGGCTAAGAGGGGGGCAGCAAGTGGCAAGGGGTGATTCGCGTCACACGCAGCTGCCTCTCCTCCGCGCCCTGTGGAGCGCTGCTGCTGGGCGGCAGACGATGGATGGCGGGGTAACGAGCAGGGAGAGAGCAGTCGAGGAGTTAGAGCGAGAGAAGTGGTTTGAGGGCGTATGAGCACTGTTTGTCTAGCTTTGTGCCAGTTGCTTTGTGCGTTGTTGCTAAGAGGATCAGAGAGAAGAATTGTGGGCCATGGGAAGGACACGGATGGGGGCAGAAGGAGGTAGTGATTGCAGGAACGCAGGCCACGATACCTCTAGGTAAGGATGACGAGATGCAGTGCATCACCTTACAAGTCATTCAAAAACACCTGACAAGGCACCTGGCATCACCTGACATTTCCTGGCAAGTCACCTGGCAGATCACCTGGCAGGTCACCTGGCAGATCACCTGGCAGATCACCTGGCAGATCACCTGACAGATCACCTGGCAGGTCGAGCATGATGGACGAATCGTTGAGGGTGTGGGCCGACCACTCCACTGCCTGGGACGAGATGGTGGGAGGGAAGTGGGGAGGGGGGGAGACGAGGGGACTTTTGAGTCGACTCAAAAGTGGGGAGGGGGGGAGACGAGGGGACGAGACGAAACTCGGCGCGAGCAGAGTGAAGGCATGTGTGTGTGAGGGGAAGCGGGGCTGGTGAGGGAGCAGGGGCACGTGCATGAGAATGCAGAGTGGGGACAGCACCAACGAGGCAGCACCGTGATGCTCACACTTTATCCCACGACATCACACAACATCACTAGAGCATGCGCTATGCAAGCCATTATGATGGCATACCTGTGTATGCCATGACATGAGCAGCGCATCCAACAACTCAGCAAGCAGTCACCCCAGCCACAGCAAGCAAGCATGGCACACACCTGTCTCGCCAGAGGCGCTGCTCCGCCGTCCCTGCCCGCCGCTGCACCCAGGGCCATGTGACGGGGTGCGCGTGGCGGGAAACAGAGGAAGGGAAGGGGTGACGAGAGGGGGGACATGAGGAGAGAGAAAGAGAGGGATGAGGAGAAGAGAGTGAAATGTGTTGTTGCAGCAGATGCAATGCAGATGGCAAATGATTCGCAATCATCCCATCATCCCAGAGTCGTGAGACAAGTGAGCATGGCATGCATAGGTGAGTGAGAAGGAGCACATGCATGCATGTGAGGCGCAAGGCACCCAAAGTATCACCAGAGCAAGGTGCAAAAAAACGGTCGTTTTTTTTTTTTTTTTTTTCCCCCGTATAATACGGTATCGTATTTTCCGGCCGTATAAAACGGTTAACAACGGTCCGGAGCTGCTTGTTTTTACTGGTGCAAAAAAAGGCCGTATGTAAAAAAAAAAAAAAAAAAACCGCAGAACGCCCGGATTTGCCATTTCGCCCTGAAGCACCACACCACCTGAAGCACCACCTGAAGAACCACCTGAAGCACCATATGAAGCACCACCTGAAGCATCACCTGGGGGCCCAGCGCTATGACCTGGCAGCATGGCGGCGGCAGCGGGTGGCAGCGGCATCTTGGAGCGCCGCAGGCAGTCCACCGCCACGGCATGACCCTCCTCCGACAACGTGTAGCTGATGACAGGGGAAGAGGCCGGGGAGGAGGGGGGGGGGGGGGGGGGGAGGGGGCGAAGGGTGATAGGATTGACAGGTGCGAGGTGAGGTGCAAAAAAACGGCCGTATTTTTTTTTTCCCTGTATAATACGGTATAGTATTTTTCGGCCGTATAAAACGGTTAAAAGCTGTTTTTTTTTACTGGTGCAAAAAAAACGGCCGTAATTTTAAAAGAAGAAGAAGAAGAAAAAAGACCTGCAAAACGCTCGGATTTGCCATTTCGCCTGCCGAAACGCGCGGATCTGGCATTTTGACCCCCAAAATGTGCGGGAACTTGCGTTTTGGCGAACGAAATGCTAGGATATGTGGCATTTTGCCCGTCGAAATCCGCGGATCTGGCATTTCGCCCGCCGAGATGCTGGGATCTCGCATTTCGGGGTGCAAAATGCGCGGATCTGGCAAACGTTTAGGCTTTCTAAAAAAAAAAAACGAAATGTTCTATTATAAAAACGACGTTTTTTTCCCCAAATGACCGAAAAAAACGGACCGTAAAAAACGGACCGTATTTTTCGGAAACCGTATTTTTGAACCTTGCACCAGAAGCACCACCTGAAGCACCACCTGAAGCACCACCTGGAAGGGTGGGACGGGTGGGAGGGGAGGGAGTGCTGGGAGGGGTGGGAGGGGTGAGAGGGGTGGGACGAGTGGGGGTGAGAGGGGTGAGAGGGGTGAGAGGGGTGAGAGGGGTGAGAGGGGTGAGAGGGGTGAGAGGGGTGAGAGGGGTGAGAGGGGTGAGAGGGGTGAGAGGGGTGAACGGAAGGGGCGAGGCGAATGAAAGTAGTTGCTGGCGAAGTGGGATCCCACACCCCATATCCCCCTCCTGCTACCCTCTTCTCATTGCCCCCCCTATTTCCCCTCTTCTCCCCCTCCCCCTCTCCTAAGCCTCTGTGCCAGGCTTAAAAAACCCCTCAATCTGGTTTGCCTCGGTGCGTTACCCTACGGCAAGGTAAAAAAAAACGGCGTATTTTTCCTTTTTAGCCCGTATCATACTGTACCAAAATATACGACCATTTAATACGGAAAAAAACGGTCTTGGGTGCGTTTTCAAGTGTGTGCAAAAAAACGGTCGTATTATACGGTCGTTTTTTTTATGGGAGGTGTACTAGGTTAATAATTGCCAATTGAGGTCTTGTTATGTGGTTGGGTTTGCTCGTGCTGTTGGGAAATTGTTCGCTCAACATTTTAGGGTTGAGGAGGAGGGGGCTGAGGAGGAAGAGGAGGAGGAGGAGGAGGAGGAGGAGGAGGAGTCATTTGGAGGAGGACGACGAGTAGACACTTGGAGGAGTAGGGGAAGGCTTAGGAGGATTAGGGGGGGAGGCTCACAAGGAAGCCTAGGAGGATTAGGGGGGAGGTTTAGGAGGAGGGGGAGGCTTAGGATGAGGATGGGGAGGTAGACACCTGTAGGAGGAGGAGGAGGGGGGGGGCTTTGGAGGAGGGGGGCGTAGACTTATCGAATGTAGAGGCGTTTCTATCTGTAGCCGCATTTAGATGCTGTTTTGACGTTAGAAAGCCCATGGCAGTTGTCCCCACCTATTTACTGGTCAGAGTAGGGTTTTTTTTTTTTTTTTTTTGCACATTTTCGTCTATTAAAAATTCGGCGTATTTTTCCTCAAATCACCGAAAAAAACGGCCGTTTAATACGGCCCGTTTTTTTCGGTTGCCGTATTTTTGCACCTTGCCCTACGGTAGACATGGGCAGCATGCCGAGCCTGGCTCGACTCGGCTCGACTCGACCTCGAGCCAGGTAAAAGTCGAGCTGAGCCGACTCGACTCGACCCGAGCCGGCTGCCCCAAAATGGTTGGCTCGACTCGGGGGTTCAGGGTCGAGCCAAAGTTCGGCTCGACCTTGGCTCGGCTCGACTCGCCAAAAGGGTTTAGGCTGCAGATTTTGGAAAGACTTGCTACATCGCTGTTTTGGAGAGCTAAGGGTTCACTGAAGGCCAGCTTGTGTTTAGGGCAGCGTGGTGGCGATTTGGGACTTTGAATAGGTTGTTTAGTGGGTAGGGACGTTGAGACATCATGCAACACACATATGTGGAAATGGTCCCTTCCCTAAACCCTAAGATCCGTCCTACAACAGTATAAGTAGTGGCGTTGGTGGAGCGAGGCCAAGCTATGGTGGCGAAATAGCCTTGAAGCACGCTTAGGCTCGCTGGAAATCGAAACCTAAATGGATTTTCGCCTTCCAGGGCGGTCGAATTTTGACCCCCCGCTGGCGAGCCGCGCGCTTCAGGAGTCCAGCCAAATTCGAGCCAAAGTCAAGCAACACTTTGGCTCGCCATGAAATTTGCGACGAGTCGAGCCGAGCCGCGCGGCTCGACCGGCTCGACCCGGCTCGACTCGGGTCGAGCCGGCCAAAAAAAAATCCCGGCTCGACTCGCCAAAAGGCGAGTCGAGTCGAGCTGAGTCGAGCCAGGCTCGGCATGCTGCCCATGTCTACCCTACGGTACACCCTGAATTATGGGTGGGAGACACCTGGGCGGGAGGGAGGGCGGCATGGGCGGCACCTGGGCGGGTGGGCGATCTTGAGGACGAGGTTGTGCTTGGCGAGGGTCTCCATGCTGCTCCACCCGCACGCAAACAGCTGCAGGGGCGCGCCCCCTGTGGTGCGATCGCTGGTGGGCACCTGGAACCTGGCAGGGGAAGAGAGAGGGAGAGTGGAGCGAACCCTCCCAGCAGCGTCAGGAGGGCCCCTGGCTGATACTGTCCGGCACCTCACGCCTCCCTTCACCACTCCCACCCACCTGCATACCTGGCTGGTGAAATGTGAAGCGGCGATGCCCCCACGGGCCCGGGAGCTCCTGCACTCCGAAAGGAGGGAAACCTCAGGCTCCCCTCTCCAACACCGCTTATCCCTCGAGGTCCAGGCCGTGCGATACGCCGACCAAGTGGCAGCCTCACGGACAATGGACCCAAACCCCCACTCCGGGCACACTCAACGACTCTTCTCCTTGGCTGGATATGGAGCAGGAGACTGGCTCCATGCCATTCCCATCTTCCCATCCCTCCGCCTCGAAGCTCCACACTTCGCCATAGCCTTGGCCTTCCGCCTCGGCCTTCCGTTCCCAGCCCCCCGCACTTGCAACTGCGCCGAGGAATTCGAAATCCTCGACGCTAGGTTACCCAACCACCTACTTCGGTGTGGCACCGGGCACGGACGGACTGACACCCATAATGCCCTGCGGGACGAGAGCATTCGGATGGCCCAAGACGCTGACTTGATAGTCACCAAGGAGACCACCATCTACAGCCCCGTCGACGGCCACAAGGCTGACCTCGCCCTCCGTGACCGCAGCTCCGGAGCTGTCTGGATCTGTGATGTCACCATCACAGACCCCATCAGCAGCCGGGATCCGGATACACGAAAAGGACGGGGATACATGGCCCGGGAGCAAGCTGACAAGAAAATATCCCATTACCGAAATCGGGCTCCCTACGTCGGCTTCTTCCCACTGGCAGTCGAGACATATGGCTGCCCCTGCGCCGAGGTCCCTACCTTCTTGAAGCTGCTGGCTGACACAGGGGCCAGGAGACTCTTCAATGCAGACCCGGGTTCCTACCAGGCAGCGAAACTGCTCCACCAGTTTCGCCAACGCTGGTCAGTGACGCTGCAGCGGGCGCAGGCCTTGGCTTACCTGGGCAAAGTAAATGAAGCCTCCCCCGCCACCCACGCCCCAGTGGGCACCCCCGATGCCGATATGGCACCAGGGGACTGCTTTGCCATAGCAGAACCCCTAGGGGAGACCGAGTAGATCCGAGCCCCCAAAACATGCACGTACCTTGACTGGCTGCCCCTTGCCTGCCTAGCCTGTACCAAGGTTTTCCAAGCAATAAACGGACCGCTTGAGAGTGGAGCGAAGGGAGGAGGGAAGGGAGGAGGGAAGGGAGGAGGGGAGATAGAGAGCGACAGGCAAATGGGAGCAGAATTGAAACAACGCTGTTGGCATGGCGGGGAAAAAGCAGCAAGGGGCATATCACAATCTGGGAGCAGCACGTGAGCACAGGAGCACGTGAGCACAGGAGCACGTGAGCACAGAAGCACGTGAGCACAGGAGCACGTGAGCACAGAAGCACGTGAGCGCAGGAGCACGTGAGCACAGGAGCACGTGAGCACAGGAGCACGTGAGCACAGGAGCACGTGAGCACAGAAGCACGTGAGCACAGAAGCACGTGAGCACAGAAGCACGTGAGCACAGAAGCACGTGAGCACAGGAGCACGTGAGCACAGAAGCACGTGAGCGCAGGAGCACGTGAGCACAGAAGCACGTGAGCACAGGAGCACGTGAGCACAGGAGCACGTGAGCACAGGAGCACGTGAGCACAGAAGCACGTGAGCACAGAAGCACGTGAGCACAGGAGCACGTGAGCACAGAAGCACGTGAGCGCAGGAGCACGTGAGCACAGAAGCACGTGAGCACAGGAGCACGTGAGCACAGGAGCACGTGAGCACAGGAGCACGTGAGCACAGAAGCACGTGAGCACAGGAGCACGTGAGCACAGGAGCACGTGAGCACAGGAGCACGTGAGCACAGAAGCACGTGAGCACAGGAGCACGTGAGCACAGAAGCACGTCAGCACAGGAGCACGTGAGCACAGGAGCACGTGAGCACAGGAGCACGTGAGCACAGGAGCACGTGAGCGCAGGAGCACGTGAGCACAGGAGCACGTGAGCACAGGAGCACGTGAGCACAGGAGCACGTGAGCGCAGGAGCACGTGAGCGCAGGAGCACGTGAGCGCAGGAGCACGTGAGCGCAGGAGCACGTCAGAGCAGGAGCACCTGAGCACAGGAGCACGTGAGCACAGGAGCACGTGAGCACAGAAGCACGTGAGCACAGGAGCACGTGAGCACAGAAGCACGTGAGCGCAGGAGCACGTGAGCACAGGAGCACGTGAGCACAGGAGCACGTGAGCACAGGAGCACGTGAGCACAGAAGCACGTGAGCACAGAAGCACGTGAGCACAGAAGCACGTGAGCACAGAAGCACGTGAGCACAGGAGCACGTGAGCACAGAAGCACGTGAGCGCAGGAGCACGTGAGCACAGAAGCACGTGAGCACAGGAGCACGTGAGCACAGGAGCACGTGAGCACAGGAGCACGTGAGCACAGAAGCACGTGAGCACAGAAGCACGTGAGCACAGGAGCACGTGAGCACAGAAGCACGTGAGCACAGGAGCACGTGAGCACAGGAGCACGTGAGCACAGGAGCACGTGAGCACAGAAGCACGTGAGCACAGGAGCACGTGAGCACAGGAGCACGTGAGCACAGGAGCACGTGAGCACAGAAGCACGTGAGCACAGGAGCACGTGAGCACAGAAGCACGTCAGCACAGGAGCACGTGAGCACAGGAGCACGTGAGCACAGGAGCACGTGAGCACAGGAGCACGTGAGCGCAGGAGCACGTGAGCACAGGAGCACGTGAGCACAGGAGCACGTGAGCACAGGAGCACGTGAGCGCAGGAGCACGTGAGCGCAGGAGCACGTGAGCGCAGGAGCACGTGAGCGCAGGAGCACGTGAGAGCAGGAGCACGTGAGCGCAGGAGCACGTGAGCGCAGGAGCAGGTGAGCGCAGGAGCAGGTGAGTTGAGTATACCTGATGACGGAGGAGAGCAGGTTGGAGTCTCTGGACGCAGCCATGAGCTCCGCCACCGGCACCGACTGCCGCCCCCTCACCTTCTCCCTGCCATGCCAAGCCGTGCCGTGCCGTGCCATGCCATGCCATGCCATGATGGGAAGAAGGGATGGGTTAGTGAGACATGGGGCTTGCAGGTAGACATGGGCAAAATGCGATTGCGATTTAAATCGCATCGCATGCAGGTGCGATGATTTAAAAAGCGATGCGATTTTAAATCGCATCGCGCGATTTATTTTTTCAAAATTAATACATCGCACATCGCGTTTTGCCCGCGATGTAATTAAAAATCGCAAGCGATGTTTTATTAAATCGCACGATGCGATATTAAATCGCATCGCATTTCTGGAGGTTTTTAAAACAAGTCTGCAAAGAAGGAAAAAAAAAAAGCGTCTTCTGAAAACTGGAACACGGGATGGCGTGCGGGCATTAACGATTAAAAATACCGTTCAGAGTGGGTTTCACACAAATGCGAGCCCCGTGGTAAGGGCCCGACTTTCGTAGCTTAAATAAAGTAAGTGCATGGGTTTGAAAGGGGGGGGAGGGGGGGGAAGGGGGGGGGGGCAGCTGCCAGCTGGAGGGTGTGGGGAGTATGAGGGTGCGGGAAAGGAGGGAGGGGGGTTTAAAGGGGGGGGGGGGGGAGGGGAGGGGAGGGGAGGAAGCAAGCATGAAGCATAGTCATCGGTCTATCACGTTGTCAATATAAAGAAGGTAATGTCCTATCAGTTCCCGAACCCCCCAGCAGCACGCTAGCCCTCAAAGCCCTGGACCTATCTCAAGGCCCAGCTCCCACGCCTCGTCGGCCGTCTCGACATCTTCGGCTGCTATCGCGCCATCAAGCCGCTGTCCAGGGTGAGAGGCAATCCATGACTTCAGCATCATGCAAGCACGGATTCACTCCGCACCCAAGCGGTAGCGGTGCCAGTGGATGAGGTTGCGGCCCTGTGAGAACAGGCTCTCGCAGGGGGCTGAGGTGGCCGGGATGGCGAGGTAATCCCGAGCCATGCGCTGCAACGCTGGAAGCTCCTGGTGGACCTTCTAGAACTGCAAGGGGCAGTCGTGCAGTTCCGCCAAGGGGAGTGACAGGTACTGTTGGATCTCGTCCTGCACCGATGAGATCTGTGCGGCCCGCACTGTTGCGAGGTGAGTAAACACACCCAAGTCCTCATCCTCCTCATCCTTGGACTCCCTCACATCCACTCCCATCCCGCTGCTGCCCCCCTCTTCCGCTGCTGCTGCCCCCCTCTTCTCAGCCACCTCCTCATCCACCTTTCTCTTGTACGTCTCCCACCTATCGCGCACCAACTGCTCCACCTCGCCGGCATCCAACTCCTCCACCACCCTGGTGCTCCCTTCCACCATAGGCCGCTCAAACCACACTCGCTTCAGTGCCGGGTCCAAGAATGTGGCCACGTTGAGGTCATCGGTGCTGGAGTAGAAATAAGTGAGCATTTTCTCCAACGCCTGGGACACGCACCGTGCCATCACCGACCCCGGCTTCGCCGCTGCCAGCTTGCGCTCCAGCCAGTCCAGTACCCCATTGTACTGTGGCACCACACGCGCCACAGTTGGGTACACCGACCCCTCCGCCGCCAGAGTCACGTTGTTGAATGGTGCCAGGAACGCCATCAACTCCTGGAGTATCGCCCACTCATCGTCTGTAACGGCCTTCTTGTCCAGGTCGGCCTGCTCCTTCTTGTTACACCCCTGGATTTGAGCAAACAAGGGTGTGGGGGGGGGGAGGAGAGGGGAGCCGGGAACGGAGGGGGGACGGGGGGGCAATCGTTCTGGAAGGGGCTTGGAGTGTGGCGGCGGGGACACGGCCGGGCGATGGAGGTAAGTAGGCGGCAGAGGGTTTGTGGTAACCAAGTTACATGACATACCTCCTTAGCCACAAAGGCCCTGATTGGGCCTTTGAGCTCGATCGCTCGCCGCAGCATGGCGTGTGTGGAGCCCCAGCGCACCGGATTGTCCTGTTTCAACTTCAAGGGTTGCTTCCCAGGGAACTGGTGACGCTGCTCCTTCTCGAAGGCCGCCGTCTTGATCACTGAGAAGCCAATGCGCGACGCGAGGTTGCGCAGCTTCTTCAGCGGCGCTTCCACCTCCGGCACCCCACCCATAGCCTCCTGCACTGCGAGGATGTTGACATGGGCGAGGCACCTGCACCAAGCACAAGGTTTTGGAGGTTAAAACAAATGATCACGCCTTATCGAAGGGTTGGGGCAACTACGGCCTGCTTGGTGGAAAACCATAGGCGGCGAGAAATGGCAAGATGGCATACCGGACGTGGGCAGCCTTGCCGAACAAGGGGGTCGCGCGCGTCTTCCCATCTCCCTGATCCCCTGCCTTGAGAAGATCGAATGCCGCCCCGTTCACAGACGCGTTGTCGGTCGTGAGCGCCATACACCGCCCGGCAAGCCCCCAATCCTCGATCACCTCCTCCAGGACGTTGGCGACCATCCTCGCTGTGTGGCCGGCAGGAAGAGGCCTGAAGTCCAACATCGCCTGCTTCAGATTCCACTGTGCATCGATGTAATGTGCAGTGATGCCCATGAATCCGATGTCGTTCTCCGCCGACCAAATGTCCGTCGTGTAGGAGATCGCACCCACCCCCTTGTCAGGCGCCAACTCGGTCTTGGCCAACTCCTTGCACTATGCCGCCTGTCGCATGATGAGACGGGCCAGCTTGTGCCGCGAAGGAATGACTCCCGGCTGAGCAAGCCGGGGGTTGGCCTCACCCATGAGGCGGCGGAACTGATGGAAGGCGAGAAACGGTGAAACAAAGATGTGAGGCCATGACGAGTGGAGGGCGAGGTAGGGATGTACTAAACAGGATAACATGACAAAAGAACACGCCATGGGGAGGGTGGCTTGGACTCACACTGTCTCGCTCGACTGTGCAAAACGCAGAGTCGATGTCGACAATGTACTCGACGAGCAGCTGCTCCCAGCGTGGCAGGTCAAGGGGTTTCTGCATGTAGCGCATAATCCCGCGCCCCCCCTCTCGACCGACCGAAGGCCCGTCTTCCTCCGCGTCCTCCAACTTGGGCCAGTATGCCGACCCCCACCAGGTACTGCCCCCGTCGGGGACCTCACTGTCCCCAAACCCCCCCTTTGGTAGCTAGTCCCCCACTTTCATGTCCCCCTCCCGCCTTAGCCGCCTCAAGATGTCCCAATGAGCCCTGTGGTAACCAACCATGTGGGACCGCCCATTCGGCTCGCGAAGCTCACTAGGAAGTTGCACATCCTACACCTCCTCCAACCCGGTGCCGACTCCTCCATGTCAAAACAAGCCGCCACACACAGTCGAGGTTCCTTCTCCACCTCCGTGGAGGAGCTCACATGACCCTGCTCAGTAGCCCCATGACCCTCACCCCGGCCACCTCCCGCTCGCCCCCCCCCCTCCCAGCATCCATGGGAGCCCGAGCTGCACCTCGAAAACTCCCTCCTCCCCCTCCGCCCCCCCGCGCCTCGTGGAGGTATCCGGGTGACATGCCAGGCCTGCCGACATCCTCGCGCAGCAGTCCCTTCCGCCCCTTGGGCCGGCCCCGGGGACGGCCCCTAGGCGCCCCCCCCAACCCCCCATCCCCCTCTGCAGGTTTACGTGCCTTCTTCCCCGAAGAACCGACCGAGGGAGAAGGCCCGTCATCCACCTTGCGCTTCCCCTTCTCCTCGCCGCCAGCTCCCCCATCCTCCTCCCCATCCCCCTCCTCCTCCGCCACAACGTCGTCGTCATCACCCTCCTCCTCAGCCACTCCTCATCCCCCTCCTCATAGGCAGTCCGCACCCCCTCCGCCGATGCTCCGATCCGCCAAGCATCCCCGTCCTCCGCCTCGTCCCTAACGGCTGCCTTGCCCGCAAGGGCGGGATCCGTAGCGTCGGCCGCGCCACTCCCTTGCGTCCCAATCCCGCCGTTGCCTGGGGCTCCTCCCATGTTCTCGTCGCCTGCCACCCCTAGCGAGGTACCCGCCTTAATCCCCTGCAGCTTCGCGAATGCCGCCTCCGTCATCATCATGCGCTGCGCGCGTGCTTCCTTGCCCGTCAATGCGTGCGCTCCAGTCTGAGCATCCGGTTCATCCTCGCGGCCGCGACCCGCGCCACCACCACTCCTACCGCCCCCACGCCCCGCCCCTGCTCCACCCTGCTTGCCCATCGCGAGTTGTTAAAGCGCCTCCTCAACCTAAAACCCTTACGCGGCCGATTTGATGCGCGTCGCACGATAAACCCTGCAACTTGCGGCTAAATAAGGTGCGCAATGCAGTTAACGGCAATGGCCGTGCGTCGTGGCTAGAATCTAACTGGCGAACGGTGAAAACCCTTGCGACGCCACCAACGCGGCAAATGCGTGCGCGAATGACGTGGCTCGACTAAAAGGCCATGCGGCGAGCAATCTACTACGCGCCGTCTACAAATTTCAGCCACCAAAAACCGTGACGAACGGTGGGTTTTGGAGTAGTCGGAGGTGTGTGCAAAGCCCTAAAACGTACTCTCAAACGAAAGAGATTTTGAGAAATGCGTTTTGGGGCTTTGTGATTTTTCCCTATGTGCTGGGGAGATTTCGCGCTGCGATGTATTTCGACACCGCGCGCGATTTAATTTTAATCACATATCGCGATTAAATCGCGATTTTCGGCCGCGATTAAATTGCGATATACATTAAATCGCGCGATAATTAAATCATCGCTTCGCGCGATGAATTAAAAAAAAAAAATACATCGCCATCGCAAAAACGCGATTAATCGCGATGCGATGCAATTTAAATTGCTCATGTCTACTTGCATGGCATGGGCGATTCAACGGCATGGACGGCACGGAGCTGCATCCTTAATGGCACATCGCATCACACTGCAAACGGGCAGACAGGTGGATAGAACGAGGATGGTGGGAGACAAAGAATGGGGGTGCCATGAGGGTGGCTCGGGGTGGGGACGGGGTGCGGCGGGGGGGGACGGGGTGGGGGGACGGGATGGGGGGACGGGATGGGGGGACGGGATGGGGGGACGGGATGGGGGGACGGGATGGGGGGACGGGATGGGGGGACGGGATGGGGGGACGGGATGGGGGGACGGGATGGGGGGACGGGATGGGGGGACGGGATGGGGGGACGGGATGGGGGACGGGTTGGGGGGACGGGGTGGGGGCTCACAGCAGCAGCGTGATGAGGATGGTGTAGGCGGCTGACCCGCGCTTGGGGGAGTACTTGGGGGGCTTGCGGGGGATGGAGTCCGGCATGGCGGCTGCTGATTGGTCCATGGGATGTGCCACATCATCACCTGCACGCACGGGGTAGTGGCTGTTGAAGAGCCGCATGCATGAGTCACCAGTCGCCTGCAATGCCCCGTCGTGCTAACCTGCCCCCCCAGCGAGCTACAGACAGCACAGGTGCCCCCCCCCATCCCCCCACCTGCCCGCCCACCGCAACCCTTTGCTCCACCTGAGTCTCTCCGCTGTCCTGCTCCTCATCAACCTCCCCTTTCCTCCCACCCCCCCTTCCCCACTTTCTCTTCGCCCACTCCCCTTTTCCCCACTCCTCCTCCCCCTTCACCCGCTCCCCCTTCCCCCACTCCCCTTTCCCCCCGCGCCCTTCCCCCCGTGCCCATGCCCTCACCTCCCAGGGGAACCATCTCCATCGCCCCTCCTCCCACCGCCATGCCCGAGTCGCTGCCAGCTGGCGGCGCGCTATTGGCTGGCGGCGTGGGCGGGCGGTGGCGGGCGGTGGGCTTGGAGGCGGCGAAGAACGCCTTGAGCTGGCGCTGGATGGCGGGGCCCACGTTCCTGGCGTTCGCGGGGGGCGAGGGGAGGGGGACCAGCGCGGGTGGGGGTGATGCAAGAGAGGGCAGGGAGTTGGGGGCGGCATGCGATGTGGGCGTAGCGGCCCGGATACGTGCAGGGGGACGTCAGTCCACGCTTGTAGGTGTTTGTGGTGGAAAGACGGCGCGAGAAGGACGCACCCTAGTGGCGTCGTTGGGCGGCGCACCTGAGCTTGCTGGCGTCGTTGAGCGACCGCAGCGCGTGGGGGTGGTCGCTGATGCTGGCGATGGCGAGGCGGAAGGCGCGGGTGAGCGCGCCGTCCCACTCGCCGCACAGCTCGCGCTGGCGGCCCTGCAGGTACACCACGGCCGCCTCGTTCTCCGCGCACCGCACGCTCGCCTTCGACCCCGCCATGCCGCACGCACCCCCGGCAGTCGCGCGCCGAGGACCAACGCGGTGACGCGGAGAGCGGAACGCACGGCCTATATAAAGGACGACGCTCTCTAACTAGCGCGAATGGGAGTCCTCGCCTACGCGGCGATGGCGCAACGAGTGGAGGCGCCTAGGGTGGGGGCGAGAAGGCTACTGCGACGGCGGTGCACGACGGAGGCATCCACGGAGCAAGCGCGGGTCCGCGCGGGAAGAAGGCGGTGTGCGGGCGACGACAGGCATGGCGCGGCGCAGCGAGGGGCGCTAGGACACAGGGCCGTCGCTAAGATTGAGCAGCTTCTGGCACTGGGGACGATGACTGGCGAAGAAAACAAATAGCAAGGGAACCTGAGCGGGCACAAAAGGGCATTGATTCGCTAATGTAATGACGCACAAAGAGCGTGGATTGAGTAACGAGAAAACAATACAAAACAGCAAAACAGCATGGAGCATGGATATAGCTAGCCTAGAGCACACGGTCGTGGCTCGGCAGAGCTGCGACGTGTGGTTTGTAAATTAGCGCAAAGCGCCCAGATCTAGGCATGAAACAGCAAGGCGGGCAAAAGTGCATGCAGCTCGTCAGGAGGCCACATTTGGGTACCATGATTTGAATTTCGTGGCAGAGTTGCGCGGCGACTCCGTTATAGCAATGTACGCCTTACTAACTAAAACACGTGATAAGGAAATACCATTTCCTTACAACCTCCTGTCAGCATATATATTATATTTATATGTGTATAGGCTAGATAGGTATACTGCATATCTTGGATCTTAGTATAGAGGGTACAACCCCCTTCTTGTATCCCTCTCTCTTCTAGTCCAATTCTCTTCTCTTCTCTCTCGATATTTTCTCCTAGCCTAAAACCTCTCGCTACTTTCCTATGCCTAGCTCTTAACATGGTTTCAGAGCAGTCCTTCTGCTCGGGCCTACTCATCACGCTTCCGCAACGTTCGCTACTCCCTCATGTCTTTTCCGCGACGCCGCCACGGCCATGTCGTGCTGCAATGACAGCGTCGTCGTCAGGCCCTCAGATTCAAATTCAGGCACCCTGAGCCCTCAGGGTTCACCCTCTGAAAAGCGTGCACCCCTCAGGGTTTGAGCGCTATGCACACCCTGTTCATACAGGGCATTTTCAAGACAGGACCCTGAGTTGACAGGGCACTTTTTGAAGTGCAGCTTTTTCGTTACAACCAACCTCACAATGTTTATAAACATATGCACGCACAGTATGGCAGAGTAGTACATCATTCATTACGGTTTAGACACATCAAATTAGAAATTTCCTTCATCATTAGAGCTAAACCCACAGCTACTGTCACCATCATCATCCTCTGGCTCACCACCATCCTCCTCTCTCTCGTTGTCTGACGCATGCCCTTGCTTCTCCTTGCCCTTGTCGCTCCTTGGGCGGACACGGGACTGCTCTTTCTTCTTGCTGGGACGGCGCTTCTTGGTTTTGCGCCACAGGTCAACAACCGCGCCCCAATCCATGTCATAGTCTAGCATGCTCATGCACATGAGATCTGACAGCTTGCCGTTGCAGAGACTGGTTCGTTGCCAACTTTTGATCACATTTTGCCTGCTGAAACCTCGCTCACATTCAACAGTGCTGATGGGGAGAACAGCGACAGCCACCCACAGGCGAACCAAGTTGGGGTAGCTCTTGGGCCAGTCACTAGTCTGCAGCATGGCCGCCAAGCCATCATGAAAGCTGCGCTCTCCACGTGGAGCCCCTTGAAGCACGGGCACCAAGGTCTTCAGCTCTTTCCTTGCTGCTCTCTTGTCCACTCCTGCCACACACACAGCACAAGAAAAGAAGTGAAAGATACGAGTATCAGGCTTCCACAGCCTGGCAGCAAGCACAAAGCAAGCACAAAGCCCGGCAGCAAGCCTGGCAGCAAGCACAAAGCCCGGCTGCAAGCCTGTCAGCAAGCACAAAGCCCGGCAGCAAGCACAAAGCCCAACAGCAAGCTTGGCAGAAAGCACAAAGCCCGGCAGCAAGCTCAAAGCCCGGCAGCTACCGGTATGTGAGGCATACCTGGCAGCACTTCTCTTTTGTCACCCGCATGGAACATGCCGATGACCGACTCCAAGTGCACCGCTCACAGCTCATCCCGCGCCTCTGTGTTCCGGGGCCAAGTATCAGGCATCCACAGCCTCACTCCGTTCAAGTTGTCGAGATCGCCGAGTCTCTGCCCCAAGTTGTCGACTGCTGCCTTCGCGAACACTCTGCAAGGGTCAAAGCAGGACTCCAAATCCCCTGGGATCTCGCTGTATCCGGGAAGCTCCTTCTCGTGCAGCTTGAACTGGTGCACTCGCGGCCGGCCTTCCTTGTCAACTCCCTCCACGGTCACCTTGCGACTGTTGGTCGACCCATGTCGCGAGAGAAATGTGGCCAGGCGCTTGCTCCCATCACCCCCAAAACGCTCGCCATAGGTGATGTAGCGCTGACGGATGTAGACGCAGGTGCGTCTAACCAGAGATCCCACTACCGTGAGGTCCACCTGAGTAGAAGGGAGGAAGGTACGAAAAAAACAGGGGAGTAGTGAGTAGTATTTCCAAAAACTTTAACGCATATGTACATTGCAGTGGCCTACCTCTCGAGTCTGGAATGCCAAGTTGAGGTTGTTCAGCTCCTCCAAAATATCTACTAGGAAGAACAAGTACACGTGAAATTTGAGCGATGTAACCACGTGATACATCTCCGTGTCGTATTCCAGGAGGAGAACAATCACAGCGGGCAGCACTTCGACAAGCCTAAGCACAGCCATGCCACGGCTGAGCCACCTAACGAGGTGGATGCCTTGAAGCTCTAGGTTCGTCATTGAGAAGATCGCCTGCAGCTCCTTGAACAGCATGTGCCAGTTGTGCGACCTCCCCAGTAGCTCTGCGACGGTCCTCAGGATGAGGTCCACGATGCCAAGCTCCGGTGCGGCACTAGCAGCGTCCTTTGCAGCTAGGGCTTCCCTGCCAAACAGAACAATGTAGACATGATCAGCAATGCGAAAGGAACAATGAAACAACGATGAAAGAATGAAGGAACAATGAAACAACGATGAAAGAATGAAGGAACAATGAAACAACGATGAAAGAATGAAGGAACAATGAAACAACGATGAAAGAATGAAGGAACAATGAAACAAAACATCAACAATGTAACAATGAAGGGTCAATGAAACAATGAAATGCGCAAGGAACTTACCGATGGGCGATGCAATGAAAGGAGACGAGATGAGGCAGGCGAAGACAAAGTCGCGCGACCAAACCGCCCGTGACGTCCATCATGACCGCGGCTCCGTCAGTGCTGATTCCCGCAACTTTGTTCAGGTCTAGTCCGATGCTCTCCAGATGAGCTAGGAGCACTGCAAGAAGGGACGCAGCATCACATTTCTCGACAGACAGCAGTGCAAGAAACTCGGTGACCACTCGCCGGTCACGAATGAAAGTAGCGAAAACAATCATGTGCTTGCTGCGGACTCTGTCAGTGCTCTCATCACAGCTGAGTCCGATGAACGGACTCGAATGCAAGTACTCGTGCTGCCTTGCACGCAAGTATGTCGCTGTGGACGTGGTGAGCTCCTGGAAGCCATAGCTGCAATGAATTAGACGAGAGAAGGGAGAGGTGAGCTCCTACAAGTGTACAAGCGACTGCTGAGCACCTAGAAGCTATACTGGTAACGAAATCAGTACGCTTGCATAGAATGGACAATGGGGTTACTGACAGCAGTACTCACATTGTGAAATAAGAACCATAGCCCTTCTTCGGGAAGCCCGGCGTGCGCCTTCGTAAAAGATACTTGCACAGCTCGACCCACATCTCAATCGGCGCATCTGACTGGCAAATGAACATGAGCGTCTCCAGGAGTGCGATGACCCGTTCCTTCACGATGTCGTACGCCGACGGACAATCCTCGATTCGTTGTTGCCCCTTTGTCAGCTTCTCCGCGATGGCCTGATTCCGCACTGCTCGCTTGTGTTTCTTGGTGCGCTGGTGATTCCGGAACGCTTGTATCTGGACATCAACCGCTCCTTCACCCCCGCGACCGTAGTTAGTTCCGGGACCTGCATGATGCATGCACACACTGCACCTCACAGAGGGGAACCCGGCCTTAGTCTGACACAGCACAAGCCATGGGAAGTCCGAGGACCACTCCTTCTTGAACCTGAAAAGCGCATCTTGATACTTATCCTCTGCCTCGTCGACGATGGGCATTGAGTCTGAAGATGCGGCAGGGGAAGTGGGCCCAGATTCGGCAGGCAGCGTCACGGTCGGCGTGGGAGGTGGTGCTACCCACGTACGCCCAAAGCTGAGAGTGACTTGGCGGTACCGGGCACCGAGCAGCTTCTTGGACGTGATGGGACCCATGCGGGTTGCACCATGCGCCAACGATGTCACACTTGCTGCTGGAACTGGTGCTGCTGCTATCGGCGCGGCAGGAAATGTTGCTGCTGGAACTGGCGCTGCTGGGACTGGTGCTGCTAGACTAGGTAGTGATGCTGCCAATGGGACAGATGTCTCAGCATGATTCCTAGGCGGGGTGGAAGAGGCAGGTACTGCGTGGACTCGCCTCAGGAAATCTAAACCCGTCAGACCGCGGGACCTAGAGGCAAGGGCGGGCTCAACGGGGGCCTGACTACAGCTGCCAACCCTATCAGGCTCCGCCATGGCGATGGGCGGGCAGCAATGCCAAAACGCATGGGCGGCGGCAGAAACAGATCGACGAGGAGGAAAGGCAGTGTCTCTCAGTTTGCTGGTGACCCAAAAGCACAGCTGTATGAAGCTGGGTGTGCAAGAGACGCGTGGTAGGGAAGGGCGTTTCAGGTGCAGCAACAATCACGGAATTGGACGGAGCGGTGCGAAGAGGGACGGAATTGGAAGGGATGTGCATGCAGGATACGTTCGACCAATCGAACTTTCGTCCCTGGCTGCAAATAGCCCGGCGTTTGCAACGTGCATGGTGCACTGGACTATACAGTGCCTTTGCGGCTTGGGTAGAAGTCCATTCCCTGCCAGCGAAGCCCAGGAAACGCGCATGAAGGTGGGTGTTAGTGCGATTCCTAGGCATCTTCAACAGGAATCTGGGGATAAGCCTAGTATCGTCCCCTGTCAGTACAGAGGGGCTGTATCAGGGCTGTCCTCGCTAATACCCTGAGGCCTCAGGGCTTGGCGAAGCTGAACACTCTTAAATAACAGGGCTGCGTACGACATACATCCTGAAATTTCAGGCCAAACAAAAAGAATACCCTAAAATCTCAGGGCTCATGAACAGACCACACACTCAAAATCAGGCTTTCAGGGTGTTTTACCCTGATA